ATTCATTCATTCATTAATTCATTCATTCATTCATTCATTCATTCATTCATTCATTCATTAATTCATTCATTCATTCATTCATTCATTCTTTCATTCTTTCATTCATTCATTCATTCATTCATTCATTCATTCATTCATTCATTCATTCATTCATTCATTCATTCATTCATTCATTCATTCATTCATTCATTCATTCATTCATTCAATCATGCAAAAATGATTCTTACGAAATCTGCTCACAGCCCGTGTTGGTGACGAATGTCATTCAGACTTCGGGCAAGATCCTTCGCTTGGATGTGGTACTGCCTGTAAAAAAAATGTTAACAAAACCTCTCACTGATTAATTAGAGTGAATTGCACTCTCGCCAGGCTGCTTGGAGTGAACAGCGCGCACAAACATCGTGCATGAATGGATACGTGCTAAGTGGCGCGAACGATAGGCAAGCATCTTTTGGCCTATGATGGAATCAAGCCCGGTCAGTGCATGCACTGCAAAACAGCACCAGGCGACAGTAACCACTAGGCCATCAAAATGTCCACAAAAAAGATTTTCAAGTAAGTTGTTTAAATATTTTCATTCGATGATAACCTTCGCATACCGGCCATGATCCTCCATTTGTCCTTGATCTGGCCGGCCGTTCTATTCGGAAGGATGTCCGAATCCGCTATCTCCCTCCACCTATTTTTTTTTATTATTCTTCAAAAAATTAAAATCGGACCGACGCAGAAACTGTAACATTATTACAATATTTTCATTCATTTATTCGTTCCTTCCTTCCTTCATTCATTCATCCATCCATCCATCCATTCATACCTCCCGATTCCATAAATTTCAATTCCCTGAAGGAGATTTCGCTCTTCATCCTTCGTCCAGGGGACTTTGTATGAAGGCGCACGTAGGGGTAGAGCTGCGGCACCATAGGGGGCTACTAAATGAATAATTTATAATTATTATTACACACACATACACACACACACACACACACACACACATATATATATATATATATATATATATATATATATATACACCACACACACACATACACACACACACTACACAAACACAACTTTCAAAAATAAATCCAACGCCTATACTTTGATCTAGATCATCAAGATCATTGAGACTAGCGGATCTTCGCTGTAAAAAAAAATGGAAAAATGCCATTAAGAATGGAAACTAAAGAATTAATATCGGTTAATATTTTTAATAATGTTGACATTAAAAAGAAAAAATGTTTTATTAACTCTGGCAGGCCGTGGCTGGACAGGGGCAACTTGGCAGGGGAGTGCTTGGGGCTGGAAAACATCCTCGTCGTTTTCATCTCCGACGTGTCTTGGTTGTTGATGTTGTAGTTGTTGTTGTTGTTGCTGTTGTTGTTGTTGCTGTTGTTGTTGTTGTTGCTGTTGTTGATGTTGTTGTTGTAGTTGCTGTGGTTGTTGTAGTTGATGTTGCTGTAGTTGTTGTTGTTGTTGTTGGGGTTGTTGTAGCAGTTGTTGTTGTTCTTGTAGTTGTAGTTGTAGTAGTAGTACTAGTAGTTGTTGTTGTTGTGGTGGTAGTTGTTGTTGTTGTTGTTGTTGTTGTAGTAGTAGTACTAGTAGTTGTTGTTGTTGTTGTGGTAGTTGTTGTTGTGGTAGTTGTTGTTGTGGTTGTTGTTGTGGTTGTTGTTGTGGTTGTTGTTGTGGTTGTTGTGGTTGTGGTTGTTGTGGTTGTTGTTGTTGTGGTTGTTGTTGTTGTGGTTGTTGTTGTTGTTGTTGTGGTAGTTGTTGTTGTGGTAGTTGTTGTTGTGGTTGTTGTTGTTGTTGTGGTAGTTGTTGTTGTGGTTGTTGTTGTTGTGGTTGTTGTTGTTGTGGTAGTTGTTGTTGTGGTTGTTGTTGTGGTTGTTGTTGTTGCTGTTGTAGCTGTTGGGTGAGGTGGACGGATACGTGCGCTTTAACATCCAAACTAAATTTAATTTAATACTATAAACGCTAATAATAATATTTCATAATTTTATATCATTATTTTAAAATTATTATTATTATTATTATTCAAATATTTTCATTTAAAATAAATTATATAAAATTAATTAAATAAATTTAAACTAACTCGTTGGCCACATTTGGGTTGTTGCTGTTATGGTTATTTGCCATGACGCTGAAAAATTAATAATAATATTATTAATATTACTATTATTATTATTATTATTATTATTATTGTTGTTGTTATTATTGTTATTATTATTATTATTATTTCTGGCTAAGACAAAAACAATGACAACGTTTGAAGAAATGAGTGAAGCCGTTACAAGAACAATAAACCAATATAATAAATGCAGTTAAAACAATTAAAAAATTATTATTATTATTATTGCTATTATTATTATTATTATTATTATTATTATTATTATTATTATTATTATTATTATTATTATTATTGTTATCCCTAGTTAATAGAGCAAAAACGACAGAGTTTGAAAAGATAAGCCTTTAGCAGAGCAATAAATCAATATAATAATTACATACACTTCTAACAACAAGTTTCATAGAAGAAAAGAGGCAGAACACGACAAATTACAGTGGAATGAACTAAATTCAAGTTAAATAATATCGTACAACTGCACAACAACCCAGCAACAGATTGTACGCCAGTAACACTACAAGTATTTTTTACGAAATTAATTTTCTTTTTACACAATCTAACCTGCTGACCGGTTTGTATTCGCGAGTCAGATTATGATAAAAATAATTATTTCGTATTTTATGTTAGCATTCTAGTTGGCTTTTGTTCGAATTTACCAAACGGATTGGCAAAAAGTTTTTAAACTGTTAACTGATAGTTCAAAACAGCCATATTATTTGTGTGTAAATCTTAATACTTGGAAATAATAAATCATTAGTAAACTTTACTATTTTAATGTATATTTTCTTAAAAACCAAAAACAAGAATAACTTATTTGAGATCAAACATATCTGGAAATAAACTGATGGATTTGTCAGTTTTATTAATAGAAAATGATAAAGTTTTTTGTTATATACCTTATGACGAAATAATTTTGTAATATATATCTTATGACGAAATAATTTATAGATTTTCCGAAATGAAAGGCGAATAATAATAAAATCCTTAATGTAGCTAGCCTTCTATTGAATGGAAGTGCTTCATTTTGTATTACCAACACTCTATTGTACAAGAAATTTGAAATAAGAGAGTTTCATGTCGTATTGATACTATTTTTCATTATAAACTATAAAGTTTTTAATGTAAGTGTGTGTTTGTGTTCACTGTTCATGTACAAGTCATTAAACTATGGTGTACAATTCAAATCACATAATTTTTAATAATATTAAGTAATATTAACATCATATCAAATATAGATCAATGATAGTTATATATCAAAATAGATATTATCGATATTTTTTAATTAAATTGAAACGAATAACCACAAAGCTTAACCACAAAGATTGTTAACTATTTAAAGTTTTCGTCAAGAATCTATTATTGTTCACTATTGCTATCAAATAATAAATTACAAGGTTTAAAGTGGTTCCTTAGAATAGCATCTGTGTAAGAACCAGTAGACAAGCATCTGAGTCGGCATAACTGAAATTAGCTGAACCATGCGGGCTATTCACGCTTTGATAAGAACAGCCATTGAAACAATCTCCTTTCCTAAGGACAAGTCTGAAGCACAATTGAATGATGATAGATCGTTCTCACCACATTCTGGGCAAGAAGAGAGGAAGATGGATGGTTCAGTATTGTAAATTCAAATAATAACATTTTAATACTTTAAAAAATTAATAGTGATCGAGAAAAAGTTTCGATACAAATAAGGGAGAAAACATTATATCAATTATTTTCAATTTCTAATTTTTGAAATGATCATACTCATTAGAGAACCATTTGACATAAAAAAGAACCTCAAATCTCAACCTGTTATCAGCCGATATCGTTAATTGGTGCATCTCCTCCAAGCCCAACCAGAGGTTTTTGTAGTAAGTTCCATATCCTGAGTAAATTATTGTTGAAATTTATAACAATTTACTGATAAGAATTAATTTTAAAACTTCACCTCACCTTATATGCATTTCAATCTTCTGCCGACCGACAATCCATTGACAGACGTGACAGGGGTTGAGTTAGCAAACGTTAAAATGATCAACAGCAGCACTGTAAACCAGAAATAATTTCCAAACATTACAATGATGTAAATTACTTCATCTGGAATTATTGTATGTAAAAACTTTGAGGATCAGACAGACGGACAACTGCCTGTCAGCAATGAGACACGTGCAGAGAGCAAGCACAAAGATTGCTGATGCCAGATAGGGAGTTGGAGCTAGAGTAAAACAATCCACCACTGAAGGTGAATGGAAGGTTGCAGGATTTGCCCAGGGTCAAAGGTAATTAAGGGCTTTCATAAAACCAATTTGATAATTTCTATAAAATAACAGTTAGCCGTCGGATTCGTTCATTCGTTAATCACATTTCTTAAAAATTTTACTAACATGATGCTCGCAAGGGAGCAGATTCCTGCAATGATAATTTGATCGATTAGAATATAGTATGTAAGTTTTCATAAAATTTTTTAAAAACTTCACAAACTAACCAGGAAATCTTCGCAATGGGTTTTATTCAGAGCCACTGCCTTCGCATTTACTTTCGCTGGTGAGTTGAAACAGTTAGTTGGATGGCCAGCATTGTTCGATACGTAATTGGATGCCCAGCAAGGGGTGTTGTTAGCAGGCCCTTGAACGCACCCACATCGCTTTCAAATGTATGCATATAATACATGTGTATAAATAGGTCGTCAAAACAATGGAGTTCTTTCTAAGATTTATCGATCAAAACATTAAAAAAATGAATTTTAAGCGTCTGTTTATTTTTTTATTTTATTTAGCATCGATCATTGTTTGTCAACAGGAAACTGGCGATTGGAGTGATATAAAGATTGAAGGAAAAATTGTCGAAAATCCTCACAGTACAGCTGATGCGGATCTGCTGTTGGATCAGGTGGTCAGGTGGGCAGTTGAACAGTTGCAATCAAGAGATAATTCAGGAAGGACGCTCACCATTCAAAAAATTCTATCAGCTAGAAAACAGGTTCCTTCTTCTCTTATGTTTGTACTGTTTTTTACCACTTACTGCTTTTTGTTTTTAGTAGGTATGTTGTGTATTCATGTGTGATGTGTGAGAAATTGAGTGTGTGCATGTGTATGTTTGTTTGTTTTTTACTGCTTCTTACTGCTTTTAATTGACTCATTGTCAGTACTCTTTTTAATTCAGTCAAATCTGTTTCATTTTATTTTATTTATTGTTTATTCAATGTCAATCTCAAGTCATATGACTCATATGATGAGATCATGTCGTTGAAAGTTTTGATTAGTAAATCAATAACGATCATTTTTTATTTATTATTATTATATTTTCAAATAACTGTTTAAACTTAAAAAAATTATGAGCTATTCATGTATACTATGATTTTGATAATATAACATAATAATAAATAATTAATAATGTGAATTATGAAGGTGGTGTTGGGAGTGAATTATGAAGTGCTGCTCCACATTGGCAGAACAAACTGCATGAACAACCCTTCCCTCCACCATGATCTCTCCAGCTGCTTCATTGAAAAGGTTCTTATTAGTGGAAGTTTTCGGTAAAATGTGAGATAGGTACTCCTATGGTATCGTCTATGTTTACAAACAATCATAATGTACTTTTCATAAATTAATTCCGCCCATTTTGAATTATCTAGCGCTTGATTATTTATTTATATCAAATTGAAAACAATTTAATACAAGTTTATTCTTAGGTAAGTAATTTAATACAAGTTAATTCTTAGGTAAGTTTTTTAGATCATTACTTGTCAAATATCAATGGCTTACTCAAAATGGGTGGAGTTAATTTATTAAAGGTACATTATGATTGTTTGTAAACATGGACGATACCATAGGAGTACCTATCTCACGTTTTGCCGAAGTTTGCTTTTCAACATTTTAAATAATTGAATTCATTATTTTTCATAATTTTTGTTGAACTTTTGACCTGTTACCTAATATAAGCTATAGATATGGGTATGTATTTATGTGTGAGAAAATGAGTGTTTGCTGTGCATATATGTTTGTTTGCTTTTTTATGTGTGTGTGTGTGTGTGTGTGTGTATATTTAGACAGAGGAATGCAAACTGTTAATCAATCATGTGCCCTGGTTGAATACAACTGATTTGTTAGAACATCATTGCCGAAATTTCCAATCGTCATCGTCATCGTCGTTGTTTGGTGGAGTAAATGATATGAATGATGCTTATAAAGAAGAGTTGATTGGATTGTTGAAATTTGTGGAGGGATACTTCAACCTCAGATCTAGTGGATTCTATGTGACTTCTGTTGAAAAAGTGCTGTCTGCAAACAAACAGGTCAGTGTTGTTTTTGTTATATTGTTGTAATGCTATGATTTTGTTGTGCTGTTGATGTGATGTTATAATGTTATTATGTTTCAGTTGGTAGCTGGGACTTTGTACAAGCTGAAGGTCCAGGTGAAATTGAATTGCCTGCATGATAAGCAACAACATCACTGCCTTCACAAGCATGAAGTATCCATTATTATTTCCCTCCTAATTATAAGGATTATCATTTCTAATATTTTCTACATACATACGCACATACGTACATACATACCTACCTACATACATTTACATACATACATTCACACACACAAACACATACATACATACATACATTCACAAACACAAACACATACATACATACATACATACATACATACATACATACATACATACATACATACATACATACATACATACATACATACATACAGACATACATACATACATACATACATACATACATACATACAATAATTGGTATCAGCTGACAAACAGATTTATTAATTTCATTCAAAACTCTAATATCACTCAACGACATTAATTTTTCACCATAGATAGCAACTTGCACTATAGATATATCATCCAAACCCTGGTTGAGCCCGGCAACAACTGTTAATAATTTCAAATGTGAAAACTTCACTACCCTCACTAACAACAACAACAACAACAACGACAAACAAAACACAAAGTTGTATTTTTACAGTAAGAATGATCAGGTATGTATCTATCTCTTCGATGTTTTTGTCAGAGTATGGATACTATCATTCATGATAATCACATTCATCCACAGTATCATTATACTTATAAACTCATGATATCATTATACCGTTACTTAATTAATATGAGATATCATTAGACCGGTGCTTATAAATACGCATGTGCATTTACAATGATAGAAGGTCGATGTAGATAGGCTGATGAAGATGAACGCCCAACATGCATTTAATATCTTCAAGAGCAAATATAACAGGAGATATGACACCAGTGAAGGTTAATTTTGATAATGATTGTCTATGATGATTGGGATTGAAATTGAAGCATCGTTTCTCATGTTGTTGTCTCTGTGCTTTTATTTTGGCAGAAGAGGAGAAAAGATTGCAAATCTTTCAAGATAACATAAAATTAATGAAATTCTACCAATCACACGATGCTGGTTCTGCTGTCTATGGAGCCTCTCCATTCTCTGATCTCACTGGTACCAACTCATTTTTTAATGCTAATTTATGTTAATTTATTTTCAACTCATTAGAACTTTTTATGTTTGAGTTGATTTTATAAAATGTTGTCATTTTATAAAATGCTATTTATCAGAAAAAGAATTTCGTGAAAAATATTTGAGTAAAGAATGGAAACTGAACACAGCTGAGGACACCTCTTCCTCCTCTTCTCTGATTGGTGGACAGGTGGACCCACCCCCTCAATTTGATTGGAGGGAACATGGAGCTGTCACGCCTGTCAAAAATCAAGTTTGTGATTGGTTGGCTGTGGTTCATTATTGTTCGATCTGTATGAAGCCGTTGTTGATGATGATGATGGTGGTAGTTATGATAATGATGACAGGGGATGTGTGGTTCGTGTTGGGCGTTCTCGGTGACGGGGAACATCGAAGGACAGTGGTCCATTAAAAAGAAGAAGCTCTTGTCACTATCCGAACAACGTGACTATATTTCATCATCTTCATTATTTAAATTCTTTTTGCTAAGATAATTATTACAATGGAGTAAAAATATTAATAGTAATCAATAATTGTCGTTTTAATTGTAATATTTAATGACGGAAGAACTGGTGGATTGTGACAAATTGGATGAGGGATGCAACGGCGGCCTGCCCAGTCTGGCCTATTTGGAGATCATGAGAATGGGTGAGTGAATGTGGTGATGCTGATGGTAGATGGGGCAATGAGACAACGTGAAAAATTGATTAAATGAACAAATTCTGTGATGTAGGTGGGTTGGAGTCGGAAAAAGATTATCCGTACAGCGGTAAAGATGGTCCCTGCAAGCTGGACGTCAGCAAGCAAGCCATCTACATCAACTCGTCACTCAATATTTCCAAAGATGAGAGAGGTTGTCTTGCATCTTTTTTATTCTCTTTGTCTTTCTTTCTTTCTTTCTTTCTTTCTTTCTTGTTTTTCTCGTTTTTTCTGCTTTGAAAAAGGATTTGTAAATCTGTTGTTTTGTCATTTTATGTCTAAAGAATAGATTCTGTTATTTGATTGGTTAATGTTTATAGGCTGTCGTTTGACCGTTTTTATAAGCCATTATTTGATTGGTTGATGCTTCTGTCGTTTGGTTGAAGATAAGGTAATATATTAGATATATGTATAAAGAGATGCAGGCATGGTTGTTCAAGAATGGACCTCTCTCGATTGGAATCAACGCCATGTTCATGCAGGTGGGTGCTTGCTGTCTCATGTCATCTCATGCTACTCCATCATAAACTAATTTCATTCCACTACTGACATTTGATGTTGTTCATATTTTATTGCGTCTTCAATTAATGTTCCTATAATTTTTTAATTCTAAAAAACACGATTGTCAGATGATCGTTTTTAATTTTGTTCAAGTCATCTTTAATAGATTTCTTTTTAAAATTTATATAATTTTACCGTTATAGTTTTATTTGGGTGGCATATCACATCCCTGGCATCTCCTCTGCCCTGCTGTACTCGACCACGGGGTTCTAATCGTCGGCTATGCTGTCAGTTAGTATCTTCTTGTTGGTGGTGGTTGGGGTTGTGGTCGTCTGTGTAGTGATGATGGTAGAGGGGATGATGTTAGATATGCTCGAAATGAACTTTAAAATTGAAATTTTCAACAGAAAAAGGTTTCTTTCGAGATACGCCGTATTGGATTGTGAAAAACAGTTGGGGAGAGAGATGGGGAGAGAAGGTAATGAAGAAAATTGTGATGATGACGACGATATTTATTAAGATGACTTCAAATATAATGAACGCGACAATGACTTTGTAATTTGTTTGAATAGTGCATTACATACACATTCTTACAGGGCTACTATTTGGTCTACAGAGGTGACGGTACGTGCGGACTGAATGAACTTGTCTCGAGTGCTGTCGTACTGTGAGGCCTGATGTCATTTTGACGTCACGATGGTGTCAGGAAGATGATGCTAACGGGGTTGAAGATTTATATGATAAATGTTTAAGGTTATCGATGAAAACAATGACAACTAGAAATAAATATACTCATTTCGTTTTATTTTATATTTTCGTGCGAGACATTGACGTTCGAACCGCTCTATCAGTTCGTAATTATGTTTGATATTTCATTGCTTTTTAAAGATTCTATGTTTCAATAATAATTAATTGGTTTTATTCGTCGTTTGTCTGTGTGAGTAGTTTGAGTGTCTTGTTTCGGAAATTTTCTTGCGTTTTCGATCTTCACGCTAGGTGGCCAAAAATTTTTTATAGCTATTTTTCCAAAAATTTAGTACCGAAAAGACTCATTTTTTTTATATAGTTATCTTTGGTATATAAATTGGAATCTGTTTGGATTTTTTTGAACTCCAGTTTTGCTTTCAAAATGCCGAAAAAATGTGAACATCTGAATAAAGAAATATTCAATTGTTTAATGAAAAGTATCAACACCATCCTGCTCGATTGCGATGGTCTGTCCTCACTCCGATCTCTTATTATTTAGTTTTGTTGCCTGCACGCCTTGCTCACCATCATTCCATTAGCTTTTCTTTTTTAAATTTAATTAAAAAAATCTTTCTTAGATTTCTTCATCTTCAATTATAAAATTTTTCATTTTAGATGTAATTATTAAATATATAATCTGGCAAACCGATCATTACGACTAACTGCTACAAAACCTACTAACATATCAAACTCTAGTAACTTAGTGCTATATAACTGTATAACAAAACTAAATTAATTATTAAAAGCTTAATCTAATATTAAAAGCTATTAAATCTAATTTGACAAATTAAATTCAATGATTAAAAAAATCAAACTGTAGGTGTCTTATACAGAGGAAACTGCATGGTCCCAGGAGTTGATGCTGTCCTTAATAAACTTAAATCAATGGTTGGCCAAGTTATTTTAAATTTAATTGATTTAAATATTTTGATTATAATGATACAGGATTCCACTTGTTTATAGTGTAAAATTATCTTTTTAAAAATATGTATTGTATTAATAATTAATGCCTTCATTTGATATTGGTTGATATTGAATACATTGTTTATTGATTCTACAACATGTTGTGTATATTGTTATGGGTTATGGTATATATATATTTTCAGGGAAAGAGATTATTTTATGTTACTAACAACAGTTCAAAAACTAGAATTCAGTTTTCAAAGAAGTTGGCTTCATTTGGTTTTCCTGTATGCGAGGTATTTTAATTTTACACTCAACATTATTATTGATAATTTATTTAGTTCTCATGTTTCTATCTCATTGAATGTTTTTTCCTAGAATAATGTGATTAGTTCAAGTTACTCAACAGCCATGTACCTACGAAGTAAATTGAATTTGAATAAAGATCATGTTTTCTGCATTGGATCAGATAATTTAGTTACGGAGCTCAAACAAGCTTGCTTAAAAGTTGTCACCCCAGAAGTTTGTTTTGGAATTGTTCCCATCAACAAATTGTTCAAATTATTAGTGATTTCTTGTGGTTGTTCCTAATGGACTTTTTATTTATTGTTCATACTTTTTTTAAGCAATGCAATTTATGAGATTTATTTCAGTCACATTGTTATGAATACCTTCAAACATTCAAGATCCCAGAAGGTGTTGGAGGAGTTGAGAAAGCATTGAACTACAAACTTCATCCAGATGTTTGTTCATTCACTTCACTACATTCCCATTTGTTATTATTCAAACATTGAATTTAAAAAGTTCAAGCACCAGCTCTGTTTATGTTTCTGTACCATCAAACTGATGAGGAATTAATATCGGTGCCAATGATTTAAATAATAATTTTAGTAATAAGATTTTCAATTCTAATTTATTAATTACTAATTTCTTTTTTGGTCATTTCTTTCTTGAAAATTCAATAGGTGGCTTGTGTTCTGATTGCCAACGATGAAAATCTCACCTACTTAAAAGTAGCAGAAGGCATGAGGTACTTGCTGTCCAAAGACCATGAATGCATTTTCGTTGCGACTAATTCAGATTCATCATATCCAGTTGGCGTTGACATTTTACTTCCTGGTGACTTTTTTCTATTTTGCTAACATTCAACAGAGAGTTGACTGCGTTAAGCGTTGTCTTCTGTTTGGCAAATGATGATGGTTGTGTTGACTGATGATGAATTTTTTACAATTATCACTCCCGTTTGCAATAAACGAGTGTTTGAACTGTATAACATCCATAAGTAAACCGGTAGCTTCAACGACATCATAGAGATTTGTAATGATGTTTACGTCATTTGAAATGTTAAAATTCTGAATCAGGGGCAGGTTCTTGTGTGAAGATGTTGGAGACAGCAGTCGGCCGAAACGTCGATGTGACCTGTGGCAAACCAAATGTTACTATGCTGAAAGCCGTGCAAGATGAATTCGAAATTGAATCAGACAAAACTTTGATGGTCGGGGATCGGTTAGTCATTAGTGCATGCAGGAAGAAGTATTTTTCATTAAAATTAATGTATAGATCATTTAAAATTTTATTGATCTCTTTGCTGATCACAACGACTCCTTTCAAAATGTTTCATACTGAATGGACAAATGATTGAATGCACAGGCTAGACACGGACATCGAGTTTGCAAGCCATTGCTCTTTGAGGTCGCTGCTCGTTTTAACAGGATGTGCCAACTCAGGTGATGTCACTAGAATTCAAAATGGAGATGTGCCTGACACATCGGTCCCCAATTATTATACAGAATCCTTGGCAGATCTCGCCAAATATTTAGTTTAATTAATCATTTAGTCAATTCATTAAGTTAGTTTGTTCATTTGTTTAAAAACTTTTTAGTATAGTTTAAAGTGTAGTATATATACTTATAGTATAGTTTAGTATAGTTTACTTTTATATTTTAGGCAATTTTTAATGATTTAAATATTTTAAAAAGTTCGTCAAATATTAGAATGTTATGAGAATATACAACAGATGTGTGTCGTTACATGGTTTTATTTAAAGATTTTATTTTACGTTTCGAGAAGTTGCAAATGATTAAAATTGTCGACTTGCATGTAGAGTTCTATTACTTAACATCAACTAGGGTATTAAAATCGTAAATTAAAATGGCATGAACAACGGACGTTGTTTAGAAAGATTTAAGGCATGTGAAGTCGTTATGTATTTAGCAGTATTTTAACGTATAATTAGGCTAGTTGCTGGTTGTGAAATCATTTAAATATTCAATCCTTATTGGATGTTAATGGTGTCCGCAATCAGCGATTGGGTGTTTGATCCTCATTGAAAGTAATGGTGAGATTCCTTATGACTGTATCCTTCGATAAGGTAAATTTGTTTCTACATATCTGAAGACTTTGATGGATGATTTTGTCCTGTTGTCGAATTTGAACCTGACGCTGCTGCTGGTGGTGAGTCGGTGTACTGTGTTTCAACGCTGTTGTTACCGGCGAGGAGCAAAAAGGAGATGACGAAGGAGGAAAGGAAAGTGATTTGCTCAGTCTGTCTATGTTCCACCATCTGTATGTGCGGTTGTGGGTATGTCGTTAGAACAAGCTTTAATTAACTTCAAATGGTTTATAAAATAAATTCATATCTATCTTTGTCACCAACGAAAATTATTAAGTTATAATCGTGATGAGATGTATGTTTGTGCATCCACACATTATTTGTTGGTTTACTGCCTTGCATTTGGAGAAGAGCAATCAACCAACCAACTGGCTAACCATTCGCCAACCAACTAACCAACCTCATCCTCTCGAGCTCGGAGTACCTGAGGACGTTAGAGTGCCACTGTTGAACGAATGGGTACGGAGAGAGGAGGTACTGCATGTCCTCCAGTGCTCTGAACGCATCCAGGTCGCTCTGTGTGGGGACGTCTCTGGATGCATGGATGGACGGGTGGGTGAATGAATAGAGGGGGGATGATGAATGGATAGAGAAAAGATGGATGGATGATTGATTGAATGATGGATGGAAGATGAACATACAAATATAAATAACTTAAGGCAGCGATAAAATTTATAAAATTGACAGATGAATGAATGGATGGGTGAATAAACAAAAAACTACTACAGTCATCAACTTATCGAAAAAAGAGTTGACTACTAGTTGTTAACTGTTTGGAAGTAAAATAGTTATCAAGTTTTCTCCCAACTACTGAAATCTAAACCTAACCCGTAAATGAAGACGTCGGTAGCTTGGTTCGTAGGTGGTTGTGTGATTGACTGGCCCTTTTTCATTCTGTTAAAATATGCGTCGTCGTCTGAATCGCTCTGTAGTTCATTGACTGCGTCACAGTAGACCTCATCATCACCACCATCTTCATCAGGGGTGTGGTAAGCTTCGTCATCATCGTCTTTTTCATCATCATCTTTTTCATTCACGAAACCACCATCAGGGTTAACAATATTGTTCTCTTTCTTTTTATTCATTCGTGATTCAATCAGTGGGCTGATTATTTGTGAACTGGTTACAACTTCTCTTTCTTTCTTGCCCTGAAACAAACCGTTGATGTAGAAACTACTGTTGTTACTTTTACTGATTCTACTACTACTACCTACATTACCACCACCATCACCGTCATCATTTTCTCTCTTGTTCTCATCCCCAACTTCTTTCTCATCACCACTTTCAGTCTCATCAACAACTTCTTCACTGTCCTCGCTGATGTAAGTGCTGCTGCATTCCTCATTCCTATGAACTTTTCCGCTTGAGTGATCTGTATAATTTTGTTTTTCTAGATCCTCTGCAGAAATAGCGAATTTTTTATCTACGCCACTCAATGAATTCTTGCCTCGATCATCCTTGGTGCTAGATGGAATTTTGTCTTTACTATCTTTGCTCTCAGATAAATTGTTATCTGCAGTGAGTGTGGCTGAAAATTTATCATGACCAGCTTCAATTTCATTTGAAATCCTGTCTTGAGACACTTCACTTGGAACTTTATCTCGAAGGCCTGTTGATGTGATGATGCCTTCCTCCTCATTATCTCTGGCTGCAGGTGGATGTTTCATTTGTTTGTCTGCAGTTTCACTGTTGTCTCTCTCTTCATTACTCGTGCCTGCAGATGAGTATTCAGCTGCATCACCATCTCTACTTGCATCGTTTTTAACATGTCCATTTGAAGCCATCATTGGATTCCTAACTGGACCTTCACTGGTTGACGATGCTTCATGCTTGTCTTGGAAGTCTCTCGTTGAAATATTCTCCGCTCCACCAGTTCTTTCATTCAAAAGTTTGCTTGTAGATTTTTTCTCATGGCCACTGTGGTTGCTATCGTTACTTTTAAGGAGTGTACTGCTGTTACTTTTGTCCTTCTCTTCCTCAACATCGCCATTACAATGGCTACCAGCACTTTCATGTGAAACATCTTCGTCGCCGGCACAATTTACACTGGCACCATTCGTCGTTTCACGAACAGCAGCGCCATCATCACTTGTTTCTTGTTTGCTTGTTGAGCATTTGGAACTGCCAGCTGAAATCTTTTTCTTCTGTGCATATCTGCAAGTGGATAAATGGTCAAGACGATTAAGCATTTTGTTTGATGGCTCAAAAAATTTCATCGAATTAATAAAAGGAATAGCAATAAAATAATATTAACAACGAAGTAATATTAACGATAACAAATACAGACATCAACAAACAACGGCAATAAAGTATTGTTTAAAACTAAAACGAACGTTATGTTGTTAGTTGTATCGCTTGAACTGTTGACAGGGGATTGAATTCTCAACTTTTCCATGGCGTTCACTAGGGAATCGTCTTTCTCGTCGTCTCCATCTTCATCTCCTTCCCTATCTTTGCTGCCATCACAAACTTTGCCATCCCTATCAACACCGCCATCATCATTACCATAGATTAATATTCGTGAATTAGTAGATAAGTAGTCATTGAAAAGTTTAAGCCCCTGGTCTGAAGTTAGATTGACGTTCAGATCCAGGAAGTCCCAATGTTCAATCCACTTCACGTCTATCTCTTTGGCTACAAGTCTGTCGTAAAATTCAAACAAATAAAATTTCAAAAACTTTGAAACAAATAAGTGAAGAATAAAATTAAAAACTGGATAACATAAAATAAAACGATATAAACAGGGACATCTCCTCACCCACCCACCCACCTACCTACCTACCTACATACTCGCTCCAGCCCCTTGCTACAATCCGTCCTCTTGATGTCTGCCAACTTTTTCTGGTTGCCATTTTTTATTTTGTTGTTTGCCACCAAAGACCTAAATGTTTCAGCCTTCCAATTGGTCAATTAAAATGTTATTATAATTAATATATAAGAATTCAACGATAGTATCTATATTAATCATGACGCTAACACAGAAGATTGCCATAGATTAAAAATGAAAAATAACCAATATTTGTAAGAATCAAACTTACCCTTCACACACACACGCGCGCGCGCGCGCGCACACATACACAGACCAAATGGGCACCAACAAACACATGAACAAAAGCAAACAACAAACACCTGTTTGAGAGACATAGGACCGGCCACTCCCCTAATCTTTCTTGGCAAATCGGTGGCCGAGAAAATAGGTAACATGACAGTTTCCTGCCAATAAGAATGTAGGGAAGAGTTGCAATCATCTTTAGACTCCTCCCTCTTGACGCTGAAGCCTTCGTTATGCATGGATGCAAATTTCGGTAAGCATGTTGCTGCCTTGCTGCTTTCAATCAATTTAATTAAAGGTTTGTTGTTTGGTGTTAAGAAAATTTTTGGAATTTTTGATTCGTTGGTTTGTTTGGTGGGTGTGCTGTAAACAGCTGGCTTGTTTGCATTCAGTGACGGGATTTGCTTGTATAGTTTGTCTGTTATTAGAGGAGTGATATGATTGGTTGGCTGTTTTGTAATAGTGCTGTTTGATTGGCCATTTGATATGTTGGGACCATATTTATAGATCGGTTTTCTGGGCTTGTAATAATCATCGACATTATTATTACAAAGATCGTCATTATCACCATCATCAAATCTCAGTGACCTCCTAGCTACTGATTGGTCAGCAGCAACGGTAGCAGCTGAAGAGGAAATTGTGGAGAAGCTGTTGGCCAACCACTGTTGCATGAAATGATTGCTGATCGTTGTTTGCATTCGTGATGTCGTTCGTAACGGTGGGGACGATGTTGGTGATGATTCGAGGTGCACATTGTTAGCAATTTCTGAAGAGTAATCTCTTGTCGGGGTGTTGGGGAATGAGATGTCCCGAAATAAGGAAGATGGTAAATTAGGACAAAATGGCAGACTGAGACACGGAGGTTCACTGTTGTCTTCCACCCTCGAAACGTAAACGTAATACTGATCTGTTGTAGATAGAAATGTGCATTACATACTATTGTTACAGGTACACATGCAAAATCATTTAAATGTGCATACATGGTCAATGATAATCAATATAAAATAGAGTTATAAACATTTCGACGTCTTCTCACCTTCAAAAATACTTTCCATCTGCTTCTTCAGATCTCTGGGGCTTTTCTTGGAAACTCTCGTGCATGCCACCTAGTGAGGAGTAATATGATTGTCGAATCTCGCCAACTTCACCCTTTATACATTAAAAGCACAGTTTGAACTGGCACAATAAAATGCATGAAGGAAGAGTGAGTATGAGTGCATTACAATTTAGTTCCACTCACATGAAATATTAATTGAAGCAGCGAAACATCCTCCAACTGGACAGCACTGAAAACAACAAAACCAGCAACAAAAACATGCAGTCAAACAAACAGCTAGAACCTGATAAGCAGTGAGGTTCTCTTTATTCCTTAGATTGCGATCGATGGAAGGAATGGTGAGCAGGTAACTGACCAATTCGACATGACCATACTTAGATGCAACATGCAGTGGGGTCTCCAGGACCTGTCAATCATTAAAGTAGGGATGTGCAGGTTTATAATTGTAGCTGTTCACATTTTTATCATACTCTAGTATTATATCTAGGGATGCACCTAAGTTCGGCCCCGGGCAAAATCCGGCTATTTTTTCGAGTGGCGAGATTTATGGCCGGATTTAAGCGTCTATCGACATTTAAAAATGTTATAAATAGAAAAAAAACTTCATTGAATTCAATTAATTTCAAGTCAATAAGTTAAAGGCTAAGCATACATGACACATAAAAACAACATCACTAATTGTGTGGTGAGCTGGACAATTTTCTTTATGCTATAACATGGGTTATGCATAAATTATAAGCTGATCTTAGTGTAAAAGAACTTGTGCACGTGTATATACTATATAATTGTATATGACGGATCATATAGCTACATAATATATAAATACATATATATATACATATAGCTATAGCTACATAAGCGCATAATTTAAGAACATTGCATGTTGAAGGTTAGGCTATTTACATGTGAAATAAAAAATTTTTTTGTACACTGGGATTTTTTTCAATAAAAAACAATCAACATTTTATAATATCATCATATCCTTTTATATCTGGTTTTCTATCATTACCTTATTGTGCATTGGAAACTCAACTATAAATAAGTATGGAAGATATACGCGCATGCATCAACACATGACACAGAGCAATATCATCTTTTATTGGTATGCACACTTCTTTGTGCCATAAGTTTTATGCATAGATTATTGACTGAGTACTTCTATCTGTATGACATGGTCAAGCAGCGGGCGCGCTTGAAAAATTCACGTGTGGATTTCATGTTTATTAGCTCTGAGCATATTTAATGATGATGTCATGTGTTTAATTATAGCACGTGCACATGAATTTCGTGTTTCGTATAAATGAAATGATGTGCGCTAATGCATATATAAATGATACTAGAACGTATTTGGCGTATCACACAGCTTAATCATATATTTTAATTAATTAACTATTTGCTTCGCGTTATTTTTTGATGATCAACATGCAGATAACCGTAAATGTGATTAATTATTGTAACCTATGTAAAATGGTAACTAAAATCCAGCCCCGGCCGGTTTTTGAATTTTAAATCCGACCAAGTCCGGCCCCGGCCGGATTTGAAAAACCTAAATCCGGTGCATCCCTAATTATATCTAATTATAAATTAAAAATTGAAGATGTATGTATGGATGGTTGAATGAATGAATGATTGATTGACCATTTTAATTAATGCTACTGTGAATAGAATAGTTGAAACGAATAGTTGAAATAAATGATAGAGACCCCCTTCTCTCTGTTGTTTAGATAGTAATCGAGTAGAAAAGTCATCCTCATCCTGCGACTTTCCCACTTGTCGTCTGGGTACATCGTGACATACAGGTCGACACCCATCAGCTCGTCAATCAAGTACTTGCAGACTTGCAGCTGATTGTACTTGCAACAGACATGCAGTGCATTATAACGGCAACCTTGCTATCAATATTCATAGCAGTTCATTCATTTGTTTGGATGTAATTTTATCAAATTTGAATTAACAATTTATTGAAATTTTTAAAAAAATTGAGACAACTAGGCTGAACCTGAAGTATGGTTGGTTTGTCTCCTCCACCAATCAAATAGCGGGGATTGGACTTTACTAATTGCATGACAGTTGTTAGTTCACCCTTTTCGATCGCCTTCATGAACTTCATCAATTCAGGTGATTTAATGCTTGGATAGATGCATGATTCAGACACAAAAGTTTCCGGCACACTTTTCTTCATGTATTAAATAAAAAATATTTAGCCTTATAAAACTAGAAGTCAAAAAAAATATTGCATGAATATGTTTTAATTATTAGATGAATAGAGAAAAACTAATAATGTAAACATTGTTGAGATCTTGTTTGTCCCTCATTTCAGTGAAGAGTCTGCCCTTGAAGATGTCTCCACTGAACTGCTCGGCACTTTTCAAGTCCTGGAAAACCTTGAACCTTGCATCCTGGTGCTCCTTGCAAAAGTTCATAGCTTCCTTCTTATCTTTGAACACCAGCTTGCATTCTACTGTAGAAACAAAACAGTACATCATTAGGACTAGAAGTTATATGAAAAAAATAACCTTTTATATTAAATAAAAATAATATTACAAAAGAAGAAATGAATCAGAAAGCAACACCTTTCTGAGCAGATAGTGGCAATTGTATACCATAGTAAAGAGATTCACTTTCTCCATTCTTCTCTTCTTTCTCCACCTTTTCTCCATTTTTTCCTTTCACTTCCCCAGGAACACTGCTACTGCATTCCTGCCCATTCGTTAGACCCGCTAACAAACATTTCTTCATTCTTGTTTCATACAAACTCCTTGTGGTCTTTGTGATGGGACCATGAATGATGTTGTGACTTTTCAGCAAATCTGACAGTTGTTCGTTTGTCAGGTTGGAGATTTCATTAATATTAATGTTATCTTTTGTTGTTTGTTTTTCTTGTCTATCACTCGTTTTATCAATTTTTTCATCAAGATTGGAATGTTTACATCTAAAACCAGAAATGCCAAACTCCATTTTGATTTAATATCATTTAGTTTAAACTATTACTATTAAATAAATATTTATAACTATATATATTATCTGTGTTTTTTACTTTTTTACCAAATAAATTTGATTGATATTATTCAATTATTGGTTATGGACTTATCTAGCTACTACTAATCCAACTCTACATCATTTTAAAATTTAACATTAATTTAAATTTCCCTTACCCTAATATACCTTTATTTATCTCTTCTAATTTAATAAAAAGAACTTCTCTCTTGCTTTTTTATGATGTATGTTCTATCCTACCTGATCTTCTAAGAATTTTTATTTTTTTAATTAATTAAAGGATAATTTAATTTAATTAAGAAACGGTTATAGTTATAATTATATTATAAAATATTAAAACTATTTAAAAATCTTCCAATAAAAAATGAAAAATAAACTTAAAAACGGATGAAAAAGATGTTTAAAAAATCGGACAAATAATGAATTTCCGATTAAATTTTAACGAGTTGTTTTGACGTTGAAAGGCAGCTTAAAAGTGAAAAATAAATAATTTAAAAAAATAAATACACAGCGCTTTACAATATTATTAGAATACATACACACGTTATATTCTATATATTATGTTTCAAATTAAAAAGACAGGTTAAAAAATTAATATCTCAAGATGTTGCAAGAATCAGAAGAGCCGTCAAATTGTTTTTCAACGTATTTCACGTGAATGGATGTATCGAATTTTTGTGGCATGATGTCTTCGATGACTGGAGTTGAAATTCTTTCGGTGAGGTCATGGCATGATATTTGGCCCAACCAGGTCACTATTCGTTCCATCTTCACTTTAGTTTCATCCTCACTATCGTCATCATCACCTCCAGCGTCGTCTTCATCATCACCATCATCATCCTCACCTCCATCTTCATCCTCATCTTTATCTTTATCATCGTCGTCGTCTTCACCATGTAGATTTTGTAATGTTTTATTGTAGTTATTATTGTTGTTGTTGCTGTTGTTGTTGTTGCTGTTGTTGTTGTTGCAGTTTCTGTTGTTGTGGTTAATAATATTATGATTATTGATATTTTCATTTGTGACCAGCGCACACGGTGATTTATAAACATCATAACTCTCCGTAATGCAGTTCATGTTTGAAACCTTCAGTAAACCTTTTCTCGCAGCATTTAAAAGAGATGGATATGTGGTGACTGGCGGTTGATTTCTTTGTTGGTGGTTTAATTTTTTGCTGGACGATACTGTTGGTGATGATGAAAGTGTTATGGACGATTGCCATTGGTCGTTTGATTGTCGCACGTCATTCCGATGCTGGTTTCTGATTGGTTGATTCAAATTCTTTGCGGAATTTGAACTCCAGTTCAGTTTGTTGAATATTTTTGAAGAGTTGTTGTAACAATCGTTGTTGCATTTAATGATGATGTTGTTGTTGTTGTTGTTAAAAGTTGAAATCATTGGCTGTAAGGATGGGATTGTTTGATAATTAACTTTCTTTTGATCATGTTTAAGTTGAATAAGCATTTGTTGATGATGGCAGTGTTGTTGTTGCTGATGTTGTTTATAATGGTTGTTGTTGTTGTTCAAATGTTGACATATATGCAGTTGGAGATTTGTGGTTTGAAGGTGTTTGTTGGAGATCGTCTGGATGTTGGACATGGTGACAAAAGTTTTGCTTCTGTTGAGTTTGTTGCCAGTGTTGTCGTTGTTGGTGGCTTCACTTTTGTTGTTGTTTTCGTGAATTTTGTTGCGTGCGGCGCTCTGGTACTGTTTGTAAGCGGTGTTGTTGTTGATGATGTAGCTGTGTTGATGACGTTGTTGTATTTGTTCTTCAAAATTTTTATTACGCCTATTAAATTGTTGAAAGTCTTTAATAGGACGACGATGATGAAGATGTTGTTGTTGTTGTTGTTTAAAACAATTATGACTTTGGAAATAACTTAGATAGTTGTTATCTTTAAAAAATGGTCGATGTTGAAGTTGTTGAAATTTTAGATGTCGTAATTTTTCATTGGCGGTCTGAGCTGACGAGGATTGACCACGGTGATGATTTAGTCTCAGTAGCAACATCGAGGTTGTTGTTGTTTTCAATGGGTTTGTTGTTGTTGACAATAAATTTTTGGTTGTAGATGTGTTTGTTGTTGTGGACTGTGAAGCTGTTGTTGTTGCACTAATAGATGTTGGTTCGAGTGGTGGTGGTAGCAAGTAGTTTGCACTCCCAAAAATTTCACTCCTTTTCAGTTGCATCTTGCTCGGTTGAGGACTTCCCATCATCATCATCATCATCCTCCTTCTCCTCGTCATCATCTTCATACTCTCGGCCAGCTGGTCTCCACTGCTCTTGAGGTTCTAACAACATTAAGTCAGCATTAGGCGTCCAATCAAAAAGTCATCAGTTGGGTCCTCATCGTCATAACCATCATCTTCGTCCTCCTCATCATCACTATCATCATCATCACCATCGCCATCATCATCATCGTCAAAACCTGCAAAGAGCAAAATGTCTTCTGCCTCCTCCTACTCAATGAAACGAAGGTCTCTCTCATGTAGCCAGGTACATCGTCGTCGTCGTCATCATCGTCACTACCATCTTTACTATCATCATCACCGGCATCATCACTACCATTGCACTCCACTTTATCATCATCCTCTTCACGAGATTTCAACT